TACCTAAAACCTCAATTGACTTACCCCCATATCCAGTTAATTTAATGTTAGTTTTTTCTAAGTTCAATTTTGGGAAACACTTATTTAATAAACATTGTGGTAATAATGTTACATCTGAACCAGTATCAATATCAAAAATAAGTTCTTTATCATTAATGTTTAACATTACCTCCCACGGAGAAGGTTTGGCACTTGAAATTATTACTGTTTTTACTTGAGCACTTTCCTTATTTTCACTGAATAAATCACACAACATATAGTCCTCATAACACTGAAATTCATCATCATATTTAATACTGCATACTGAGAACTGTTCTTCATTAAAAGTATTCGCATCTACCTCGCGAACCACTCTTGACTTGGGACGGAACTGTTTACCTTTTGTTTTGTTAGTTGTTTTCAGTGGCTGCTTACTTTTGCAAACTGAAGCTAAATGTCCTTGCTTCTTGCAATTATGACATGTTTCCTTTATGAATTTACAGTCCGGCTTGATATGTCCCTTATATCCACAGCAATGGCAAATCAAATGATTTGTCATTTTATTTTTTATAACATTTGTTTCATTGACTTGCTCATTAACATTGTCATTTTTATTTTCAGTGATCAACTTAGACCCTTTTTCTGCTAACTCTAAATTAGTAGCAATGCTAACAGCTTTTTGAAAATTTAACTCTTTTTCTGAAAATAACCTCTTAATGATTGATTGGTTATTTAATCCGTGGACGAATTTATCTCGTAATGCTCGGTCTAAATAATTATTAAAATTGCAAGTCTTTGCTAATTTTTTTAAGGCTGCCACAAAATCTAGCACCGTCTCATTTACTTGTTGATTCCTTTTCATGAATTTGTAAGTCTCTGCTATTTCTGAAGGTGCAGGTTCTAAATGATTGTCTACTTTAGTCACTAAATAATCGTAATCTTTATTTTCAATGTTTTCAGGGTAACATAACTCGCTTAACAATGTGACTATTTCAAAACCTACATAACTGATTAGGTAGCTGGCCCATTTTTCTTGATCGATGTCGTGAACTACCATCTTATTTTTAAAAACTTGTGTATATACTTTCCACGTGCATTTACTTGCATCAAATGGTGGCATTTGTACGTTGGCGGGTGTAATTAATTGGTACACCTGTTGCTGATCTGCTTCTGCCATGATAAACTCGTAGACGTAACAACGAGGAATAACAGATAGTTAATAAATCCACTTACTTTGATTAGACTTGTTGTACGTGACCAACAAGCCCACTTCCTTCTTAAACAAAATGTCCACCTTGTTTCTTTAATACTCGTCGCCAGTTTGTCGCACCTCACATAACACGCGTGGTGGTGGCATAAATTAAACGGCCTGATATAATGCACTTGGTGTTTTATTATAATCATCAGCGAGGTTCGACATATTATTTCTTAATTATAGGTAACATAGGTTAGCACACAAGTTATCGCAATCGACGCCATAATAATAAGTGCTAGCGGTGAGAATGTTGCCAGAGCTCGATCTACAATTTATAACATCTATGGCTTAAAGAAAGCACCAAGATGCTGGAATATTTGCTTTGCTGAAATATTCATTGTTATGGGTTTTAAACAAGCTGATGCTGATCCATGTCAATTAATAAAACAGATGGCAGGGAAGAAAGTCTTACTAACGCTGTATGTAGACGATGGACTAGTGGCTGCAAGCGATGAGGAAACAGCAAACATTTTCTTAGAGGATCTGCAGAAACGCTTGAAGATTACAAGCAAACCGATCTCTTAAAACCTAGAACTAGAGATTGAGAAATGGAAAGACGGTTCTATCTTCATAAGACAGGAGTCATACACCAAAAAGATTTTAGAACGTTTTCACATGTCGGAATGTAATTCGATCTCAACACCAATAGAAGGTAGACCATTGGAAGGAAACCAACCTGGAGGAAGTTTACCTTACCGAGAGGCAGTCGGCGCTTTAGCATACCTGATGACTGGTACGCGACCAGATTTTGCCTACGCAGTTGGAGTTCTGTCCAAAAAACTGGAGAATCACGGAAAAGGGGACTGGCAAAGAGTCAAGAGGATCTTTAGGTATTTAAAAGGCACTGTGAGCTATGGTATTAAGTATCACACAAGAACGCAACAAACAACAAAAGGCATTGTTGGATATAGTGATGCAGATCATGGTGGTGATGAACAAACAGGATGTTCTACTACAGGATTTGCTTGTCTCTTTGCTGAAGGCATCGTTTCCTGGCTTAGTCAGCGACAGCCATATGTTGCTATTTCCACTACAGAAGCAGAAATTGTAGCTGCAAGTGAAGGTGTCCGTGAGCTAATGTGGCTTCAAAGGATTTTTGAATTTATAACCACATTAGACACGATTCCCAAGCTGTTCGTAGACGATGAAGCTGCCATACGTTTAGCAAACAATCCCGAGTTTCATAAACGAACAAAGCACATTCGTATAAGACACTTCTTCGTCAAAGAAGCTGTCCAAGAAGGATTGGTGAATGTTCAGAAAATAAGTTCAGGTTATCAACTGTTCCGAATGACTAAACCTGTTCCGAAGCCTAGGCTCGTAAGAATACGCACTGATTTAGGGCTAAAGACCAACTTTTCTGGTCAATAAGGGAAAGTGTTAGAGGTTAGATATCAACCACAAAAAGTTCTGTCTGTTTAGCCTCTAACAATCATAGATTTTTTTATATGTAAAATATTGAGTGTTGTGTTTAAAAATATCTTTTAAAATGTCTGTTGTTGCCACTGTAGTTGCGACTGCATACTTTGTCAGACTGCTTTAATACAAGGTATAGCTGCATATAATAGCCACTGCGGTCCGTAACAATACCATACCACAACACAACAATGCTTAGAGGCGACTTATTAATCCTATTTAGAGCAATCTGTCCAATTTTGCAATAATCATGTCTATATGTGCCTTCCAATGAAGAACTTGACTTTGACTTTAAATATCTCATAAAGTTTTGGGTCATTTAATTTTTTTTCCAGTCTTCTTCTTTCCGCTAGTCGTTTTTTGCAAATTTTTCTTGTCTTGACTCTTTTTTATAGCCATTTTTATTATGTTCTATATACGCAATAGATTTTTTTTTTATTTTCCGAATGTAAAGAGTTTATCATTAATGTGTATATAGGTAGTAATATATATTTTTTATAAAAGTAGAAATATGGATAAATAAATACAAATAACAAATTTCCTTGGTTATTTTTAAACCATGGAAAACAGAGAAATTCGGCCTAAAAAGCATCACAAATTAAAAACGTTTATCGTAGGTTTATTGCCATTAAATAGTACCATCTGGCATACAAGTACTACATGTTAAAAAAAACAATTATTAGTATCAATTAGCAGTTGATAATTTGTGACCAAGGAAACTGAAAATATTAGAGACATGCCAGACCTGTAAATCAAAATTCTTTTTGTTCATCGTGAGATGAAACAAATCTTTAACTATGTCATACATTACTTTTTCAAATATATTTGAGAAGATTGAGACAAGTGTTTCAGGTCTTTAATTATTTAGTTCGTTTTAAAGTTTCTTTTTAACGTAACGGTTTAATTAGTGAGCGTTTTAGCACTGAAGAAAAGTGACCTTGCATAAACGACAAGTTTATCATGTGAGTTAGTGGATGTACAATTAAATTAGCACTTTTTTAATGATGTCCATACTTAATTCTTCGATACCCGATGAGCGTGTTTAAAAAAAAATTGTCTTTCAGAGATAATATTCATTAACTGGTGTTAGTGTAAGTTACTAATAACATACTAAGACCATTAAAAATAAATATAATTTGCCTGCACGATTAGACTTTGAAATATTTAAAACCGACGTGAAGCAACGCTTGCATTGTGTTTCGTCGTGTGAGTGAGGGTACCCGAGGCCCAACCCCTCCCCATTCCCTTCCCTCTACCCCTCAACCCTTCCCTCCCTATGATCATAATCGTCCCTCAAAGGCCGGCAGCGCGCTCGTAGCTTGTACCATGGGCGACGGTAATCACTTACCATCAGGTAGTCCGTCTGCTCGTCTGCCCCCTATACCATAAAAAAAAAATTAAGTGACGCTTCAACTCCACACAAAAATTATGCTTCTCTTTAGGTAATGTCTTTATTAAAATGTCAGCAAGCATGAATTCATTTCGTTAATTTTCTTTATTACTACTCACAACATTTCTTATTGTCAATTTGCTCGAACGAGAATGAAACATTGGATCTTTTAATTATATTTTGATTAATTTTGCATTCATAATGCCATACTGAAAATTATTTTTAATACAAAATGCTTCAAAAATCCACTTGGTCCCTGGCACCCTGAGATGGGAATCGATCCCACGACCTTTCACAATCCGGGCGACTGCTCTAACCGAACCAAATGGATTTTTGCCAAGCAAGTAGTCCTTTGGTAATTGATATGTAAAGTTACTTTTGCAAAAAGCAATAACCAGATTTCAGTAAACAGACTATTAAGTACATAGCCTCTTTCATAGTTCCCTGTTATTTTTTTTCATACAAAGTAGTCTTATTGGAAAGTAATTTTATTAGACTACAAAGTCACTTTCCATTACATCAGAAATAACTAAACAGTTACTTTCGATAACCTATTTATATGCCGGTTGGTGAGTCATACATATTCAATGACTAATCAATATACCTACAATAATCATAATAAAAGAAATGGGCGAAATTAAGTGGCCCTGAATCATCCTCACTGGCACCACTCGTCAACAATCGTCAACAACGGGCATTGATGATGCATGGCAGTGTGTTTGTTATCGGTATGTTAACGATATTTTTGGGGCGACATATCGATATATACGGTTTATCGTTATATCACTTTATTTTTTCTCAGAATTCGATACTTTTACCTTATCCCTATTTCATTTTGACATCGACTATTTGACATTGACACTTGATAGCACGGTATCACGGTATCTCCATGGTATCTTAAAGCATGTGGTATTGTTTACTGCTGTGTTTTAATAATTTTCACTGTGTAAATATAGCAAAATGAAAAGCAAACCAGTTAAGCACAAGTCCACAAATACTTTCAAGGTAGTAAATATACATTTCTTGTTATGCTTGATAACAGAATCTTATATTTTCATTGTAACGTTAACCTGAAATAAACACATAGTTTTATAATGATAATAAAATTAAATGCTTTACAATTTTTTTTTATTTCGTCTTTTAGACTTATAACATTAAAGTTCAATCATTATTTCATGTGTTAACAGTATATAAAACCATCAAACTTGTTTACAGTTCATACCGTTTGCTGAGCGGATCAACTCTATAGATGTTCGCCATGCGGCATTGTATCACATAGAACATGCATATACTCAACAACCCGAAGAAAATGAAACTCATTTCTATTTGGCAATACAAAAGTGGTATGCTCTCAACCTCACAGAAAATTTCAAAAAATTTAGAAAAGAAGTATTTGGTATTGTCACTGTGCCTCAGTTGGTACACAAGAAAGATGTAGTATTTGAAATATTGGAGAAGTATTTGAATTTAGAAGATCAACTATGTCTTCAACCTCTTTTAGAGTGAGTGTTTTTATTATAGCATGATTACTGTTTAGAAGGAATTTTGTACAATGACCTGGTACTCAATATCTCTTTCACTGGTTGCTTAAACAAATAACTCTAGCCAATATCGTTATAGTAAAATATCTATCAGTAGCATAAAGGTCAACATCCAACAAATTCTCTCTGTTTGGAGACAGTGCTGTGCCTGTATTATTTAGAATTAATTTAATAATTTACTGTTTTTGTATGATATTCAGGCTAATATCGGTATTAGTCAACTAGTACAGGTGTTGGCTAATGCAAAGATCCTATTATAGGAAGTTCTAATTGTGATATAGCAATTTTTCCAGTCTTCTTTCCTATACTAAAAGATATCATTTGTGTACCCAGCATTTACTTATGGATGGGTAAAAGTAAAGAAATTCAATGACTTTTTAATGATAACCTTATTTCAGTAATAATTTGTGAAAATTCTGGTGTTTTAAACTTCTGTTTTTTGTTGTATTACATAATTTAATATTTTATTTTATTACTTCATATATAGCTTTAATTCTGGGCTAAAAGTGGGTATGAAAATTGAGATATTGAATTTCTAATTGCTATAGTATACAAACAAGTTAAAATTTTAAACTAGCAGACCTGTCAGAATTCATGCTGCCATATTTCTTTAGTCGCAGAGACTCTGAGGAATCTTTTTTATAAATTTTCTGATATACGATCTTTGTCCAGTATGGCGATTTTGTAAAGAACCAAAGCCAAATTCGAGTACACTTATGTGTCGAAATTCACATCATTTAGTGAAATAATTATTTCATTTTTTTTATAAAAATGCAGAACAATTTTGTTTGATTATACATTTCTCAGATATTCTATTCCTATGTCATTTTAAAACTTCCTTCACTTATGCCTCATAACATTATAACCAATTCAAGAATGAGCAGATGCCCCATTTTGAAGTGAAATCAGACACCTGAGTAAATACAAATTTGAATTTTGGATTTTTATAGAATCACAGGGCTGACAATAACAACACTTAAAAAAAGAATCATCAAATTTGGTGCAGTCATTCGGAAGTTATGCTCTTACATACATTTCAGTGATTCACTTTTATATGTATGGATTAAGATCTTATTTGCATGAGAGTTTGATTATATAAGGTGTATTGAAACTGTTTTATTATAAATTTAATTGTTTTTATTTTCAGAATATTAGTTTCTTTAGCAAAAGATTTGCGTGATGATTTCTATCCTCAATTTCCAAAATTTCTTGATATCCTGATTAAACTTCTTAATACAAAAGATGCAGACAGACTAGAGTGGACATTGATATGTTTAGCATTCTTGTTTAAAATATTGAAACCATGTATGAAGAAGGATATTGCTGTGGTCCTTAAAAGAATTATACCATTGCTTAGTGAAGCACATCCACAGTATATAAATAATTTTGCAGCTGAGAGTTTTGCCTTTGTCGCTAGAGATATAAGAGATAAGAAGAAATTTTTAGATCATGTACTCACATACCTGAAGACAAATGATGATGTAAGTTCATTGTTATTTATAAAATTTAATAGAAGTCACTCTTTGTCTAAATAGGAATGAAATTAGAGAACAATCAATGTCGGCATATCTAGTATATACACCATAAAATTATAATAATTAATAAGTACTTTACAGAACAATTATTACAATTTGATTCATCACATTAATTATTGAGTTACCTGAGATAAACAAGTTATTCTCTTATTATGAAGTAAGTTATGTCACTTGTAGATTTCAACTTTTTATATATTATTTATTTTTTTCTGATCTGTGGAGTAAAATATCCCATAGTTAACACGTGGGACCTTGTACATGACAAGCCTTCCTTTGTTGTAACAAATATTTGACATTATCTTCAATTTTTAATGATTTAATTTATGATTAAAATATTTTATTTAGGCAATTTCAGGATGTGGCCACCTCATGTTTGAAATAATCAGAGGAGTTAACGGGAAATTCCACAGTTGCTTGGACACATTCCTACCTCTCATGTTACAAACTCTCAAAGACAATAAGGATCACCAGAGTATACTTTTTAAAGTTCTAACACAGACAATAGAAGACAGTTTGCAAACTATATCACCGAAAGAGTACACAACTTTTTGGTCTAGTGTATTTAAGTTCATTGAAGGAATTTTAAATGAAAATGATGAAGAGAGCAAAGGCTTAGAATACATCTTGAGACTTGCAGGACAAGTAATAGAATGTAAAAATGGAAAATATTTGACAAATCCATCGCAATTTGTTCTTTTACTTGTAAAAGTTGTTTGTGAACAAGTTTCCGAAAATGTCTTAGAAGTTTGTGCTCAAATTGGAGCATTGCTCCTTCTGTCACCAAATATCTCGTTGTCTCAAGAACAGGCTGGTATTATTGTGAAAGTATTGCTGCCTCTACCGTATCCAAATATACTGATAAATTTTGTGAAAAACATTATAGATTACCCACAATTTGATATGCATATTTTGAAACCGTTTCTGAATTTCGTAATACAATCTGGGTTTGATAATGAGGCAATGTGTACATTGACGAAAATATGTTTGCATAAATCACCCTTATCAAAAAATGGAATAAAATTATTCGAATGGGTTAAATATCCAATTGACTTTGGAAATTCCCTTTCAACCTTTATGGAATATTGTAATAACGTTTTAAATGATGACATAGAGAATATTGTTGAGGATCCTACCAAATTGATGAATGTATTGTTTTGTTTGCCTCATGTTGAAAATGTTAATGTTGATTACTGCATCGTAACATTGAGCAAATTGACAAGTAAAATCTTAAATATTTTGACCAGTTATAATATTGAAGGTCAGCCAGAACAGAATAAATATCATTGTGATAACTCTGCATTATCAGGATGTGCTAGACAAGTATTGTTTATATTAGCAAATGCTTTGGAAAGTGCAGTTCACATTTCCAGTTGTAAGAGAATGAAAGATATATGTGATATTGATGCACTGTTACCGGTTGTATTACCATGTGCGGTAGATCCTAATTACTTGTCAAGTTTACATTTACTGGACTTATATTTGACTGCTTACGAACAAGAGAATGGGCTAACCTATCCACATCTTTCGTTGATTGATTCATACCTAAGAAGTAATGTGTCATCTCCATTTCATATTGTAAGTAATTACTTGTTTAACGATATATATGCAATTATCATAAAATAGATTTAAATATAACAGATTTGCCTGAAGCTTGTGGCAAATTCTATGTTTTTAATCTATATAGACTAGTTTATTTCACTCTTAAACTAAATAATACCAGTGTATTATTTAAACATAAATAATTATTTAGTGTCGTAATTTGATATATATTTTTTAAGTACTTTAAATACATTTTGCTATATTTTTAGATTCGTTTGTTGACCACTCATATCTACAAACTTTTTGAAGCAGTACCTGAACTGGACAAGACTGTAACGATAGGTGGTACTGTCGAGAGATTCTCAATATTCAGCAGATGCTATGAAGTAGAGTCAACCAACCCCTCCATTCAAGAATATCGATCACAAATTAATATGCTTCAGAAAATGGCATTCAATACTACACAATATACACTTGCAAAAGACACCGATTACCATTTGTATGCACTGAATTATATGCTGGGAGTTTTATATTTCAATTTTAAATTGTTATGGGAGCCCGTTTCGGAATTCATTGTAGGTTACGGAAATGCATTGTCTGCTGACCACTTTTGGCCTCTTTTCTATAAAATAATAAAATCTTCATTTGAGAATGCTAAAAAAGATTTAAAAAAGTTCCAATTTGAAAAAGAATTTCATAGTTCATATGATTTACTCAACGAACTGTACTGTGATTACAATAGCATATCAGAAAGACCGGATTTATACAATTACAGATATTTAATATTAAAAATCATGACCAACTGTTCTCAAGTATGTGAAGCTAAAAATCGCGATGTTGTTGTCTTATTTCTGAAATTTATTGACGAAGAATACAAAAGAAATGATAATGCAAATGCTCTTAAAATTGATGTTGAAATACGCCATGAAAACACAGATATGGAAGTCGATAAAATAGTAAATGAACAAATCGAAGATAATGAAGAAATTACTGATCCTATAGAAGATGGTAAAGACACTCCATCTGGTAAAATAATCTTCAAAACTTTAATAGGTGTGATGCAGGTTTTAGCACAATTTAAAAATCCAAGAGCTCTTCATAAAGAACCAGAATTTTGGGAACTTTACATGGAATTTTTAAAACATAAGAATGCTAGCCTTCAGAAATATGCTTTAGATTGCATTTTAAATTATAAAAACAAAAGTGTGACACCCTATAAAAGCAATTTGTATAATTTGGTTGATGAAAATAAATTAAAAGATGAACTAACAAGATTTAAAATAACAGAAGACTCTAAAGACCTTCAACCAGATGACCGAGAGCATGTGATTCCTATAATATTGAGGATTCTTTATGGGAAAATGACGGCAAAACTAGGAGCAGATAAGAAAGGTGGTGGTCAAACAAGGCGGTCACTTGTGATGAGATACTTATCAGGTTGCAATGAAAATGAACTTAAAATGTTTATCGAAATGGCTTTTCCACAATTTCGTCAGAACATGAATATGGATCCTAGAGAAATACTTGCTGCCACATTAGAAAAATTAGATTTAAAATCAATAACTAGTCCCGGAAAATTGCACAGTATTCTGAACTTATTTGAGATAGTAAGAGAATATTTTGGGGGATATATGAATGAAGAACTTTTGAGACAATTGTTTAAAATATTTTATGCTGTATGTTCTCTAATATCGGCAGTTTTGTCACAAGGAAGCAAAGTTCACATTGGTTATGTGAAGGTTTTGAAGAACCTTAGAATATTATGTTTGGGAACTTTAAGAAAGTTATTTGACCAATTTCATACATATGCCTGGGATAAAGACGAATTATTTGTTTTATTCGAAACTTTAATATGGCCTTTAACACCAAAATTACAAACTGACGGTATTCACACCCCAACAGCTTTGTTAAAATTATTTAACACATGGTGCCAAAATCCAAGATACTATGTTTTATTGACTACAGTATCTGAAAATGACCACTCATTATGTGTTTTGCCTGCTATATTTAAACTACTGTTGGCACCCAAAACCAGTCCTGGTGTGGTAAATATGATTTTAGATATGGTGGAAAAGCTTCTAACATTAACAGAGGACAATGACAATGAAGACAATGAAACAATACCTATTGTTTCATTTAATACTTTACCTATTGTAGGTAATAAGAATATTGAAGGTATAAAAGAAATTAATTTTGGAAGTACGATTCTGATACCTCATATATCAAGCATTCTAGAGGTGATGAAGAGGCGTATAGCAAATGCAGCGAAATCAAACACTGTCAATAGAAGAGATTTATTGATTTTGTCAAGGGTGACGGAACTAGTTTCTTCTCCTGAAATGTGTGATGAGTTGCTCAATTTACTTTTACCGATTCTTGTGAAAAAGGTGTGTTTAAACATGGCCGAAGATAATATGGAACACGCTGTTACCACTATCATTAATTTATTAGGTCACAGTTCTAATCCTCAGATTTATATAAAAAATATTGCTGTTCTATTTAATAAAGTGTCTCCTATTGATGTTAGAAAACTTTTGATAAAACTACTTTCATCTATAGCCGAAAGTTCCACTAAAAATATAGAACTGTTAACAAGAATTTCTCAAATAATTACTGAAATGAATGCTTTCAATAAGCGGTGGATTGAACAACCAGATTTTGATCGCAGACTAGATGCATATAAACAGATATACCAGTTGTCAGAAGATAATAATATTGACTTAGATCTTGCTATATTGATAGTGAACAACTGCTTTTATTTTATTAGAATAGAAAAAGATATAGGTCTACGTGATTCAGCAGGGTTATGTTTAAAACGAATATTGCCAAAATTACTATCAAAATATTGGTCTACACATGATGGGCAGTATTTAGTTCGGGACACGGTTTTATCTCTTATTTCAACTGGTATTAGGGATACTAAAAATGAGATACACAGAAACGAGAGTATAGCTTTATTGGGTGAATTGGCCAGAGAGGCTCCTGACTCAGATGTAGTTTTGTCAGATTTAGCTAATTTGACAAACAAAGATGATATAGAAGTGGACTTCTTTGAAAACATGTGTCACCTTCAAATGCATAGACGCGTGAGAGCGTTGTTGAAGTTCTCCAAAGTGGCAAGAAAGTTGAATAAATGTCCTGCTCCTAGGACTCTTACGAATTTCATTTTACCTTTGGCAACTATGTACCTTTGTGATGACAAATATGCAGATAAAAATACTTTGATTGATGCATGTATTGAGGTCGTGTCTACTTGTTACCGATTGCTACCTTGGTATCACTACGAGGTCATTCTGAAGTCTTATTTGAATAAAATGCGTCACACAACCGAACATCAGAAGCAATTGACACGTTTATTAGTGGGAATATTAGACGCATTTCATTTTGATTTCACTAAAGTTAAAAGTATTGAATTACCAAAAGCTTTAATACATAATATTGAATTAGGTAAAATCGAAATAAAACCAAAACCTGGTGGAGATCATATTGTAAATGAGGACACAGAACCAAAAGAAAATGACGTTACAGACGAAGTACAAGAAAAAGACAATGCAAACGTTGAAAATGTAGAAAATCTGTTGGATAATGAATTAAAAACTGCAGACGAAGAAGCAGATAACGATGATACCCTAAAAGAAGCTTCTGGCGGTCCAGCGTTTGAAAAAGTAACGAGTGTGTCGCCTTCTGTTGCTAAAAGGATAATAAAGTCCTTGTCAGCAGGACTTCTGCCTCAGCTTAGCAGGTATATCCAATTTTCGTTATTGTTGATAGAATTATTTTTCTTAGAATATATACTCATTATGTCATTCGTATATTTCAGAGCAATTGGTAAAATGACAGAACATGAAGAGTCTCATAAACTAAACAGACGTTCCAAGAGTTTTGAACGTCAAGAAGAAGACATGATTCGCATCCCGATTGCACTTGCTCTAGTAAAATTATTGCAAAGATTACCGGGTGATTTACTTCGCTATCAATTGCCAGGGTGAGTGAAATTATGAAACTGTACTTTTTGAATACTTATTTATTGTATTATTTTTTATCAAAATCTTGATATTGTTTCAGAATTATTATAAAATTATGTTCATTTTTGAAATCACCATTAAAACAAGTGCGTATTACCGCAAGGGATATAGTTAAGAAAATTATGATCACAGTTGGCACTTCATACTTAGGGATTCTGTTAGAACACTTAACTTTATTATTAACAAGAGGATTCCAAGTTCACGTATTAGTGGCTACAATCCACACAATTCTTGATGCTTTAAAAACAGACTTTAAATCTGGAGAGATTAATGATAATCTTGATTTTATACTGGATGTTTGTGTCAATGATCTCTTTGGTGCACTATCTGAAGAAAAGGAAGTCGATAAAATACATTATAAAACACCAGAGGCGAAACCAAGCAAAAAAAGTTATGTAACCCTGATGATAGTGTCTCAAAATATAACAGAAAAATGCTTAATCAACCTACTACTTCCCTTCAAAGAAGTTTTACAAAAGCATCACTCGAAAAAGATAGTGTTAAAAGTACAAGAAGCTTTAATGCACATATCTAGTGGACTCGTTACGAATAAGTTCATAGATATAGAGTCCTTGTTTATTTTTCTCCATGGTATGGCATCCGAGAGTATACCTGAATTCGTTTTGGGTGCGCCAAAACGAGAAATAACTGAGAAACAAAAAGAAAATATGCTTAGAGCTAAACCTGATTGCTATATTATACCCGAAACTCCAAAACGTAACAGGGAAGCTCAAGCTAGAAACGTAAAAACTTCTAGCAAAGCTAACGCTCATGTATTAGTTGAGTTCAGTTTGAATATACTTTATGTCATACTGAAAAGAGAGAAAGCTCCAAGAGTCGATTGCAAAGTATTTGTAGATCCACTTATTCCATTATTAGTCGACGCGTTGAAAAGTGATCATGTTAAAGTGACGACAGTAGCCATGAAATGTATAACGTCGCTCTGGACAATAAGAGTTAGTACACCTACGTTAGAAGATATGATACAGGATATAGTAAAAACAATTTTTACGATACTACACAAGTATGCAACATTCGAAATAAATACACAGAATGACAATTATCATCTTGTAAGGAATGCGTTTAAGGTACTTTTCTAATTTAAATTTATAATGACTTGATTATCTTTCTTTTTTTTTTCATTTTTCAAAATAGAACGAAATTAATAATCTATTCAATGATATCAGTAATATGACGGATTCAGAACTTACATTTTTTTAGGCTGTAACTGTACTTATAAGGAATGTAAAATATTACAAACTGGAGGTAGACCAACTTAAAACATTACTGTTGTATGCCGAAGAAGATTGCCAGAATGATGATAAACAATCAAATTCATTCTCCCTGTTGAAAGCCATATTGGAAGCTAAACTGGTATCGAAAGAATTGCATGAAGTTATGGCTAAAGTCGCCAGGATTTCTATACAGAGTGAATCGGCTAAATCTAGGTAATATTTTTTTTGATTTTACCAAATATCAGTAGCTTCACTATTTATTTTCTGATCTGTAATTTCCAACACATGATCCTGAAGCCGCTTCATATTAATTTTATTGTCTACAATAATATATTGGGAACATAACATTTCTTGCTAATTATTTACAGGGAAGAAGCTCGTTTGATATACGTAATGTACGTGACCAATTACCCACTTGGCCCCGATATACAAAAGAGCATAGATTTCTTCGTCTCCCAACTCAGATATGAGATGCAACACGGCAGAGAATCTTCACTCAAGTTCTTAGAGATGATTATCAATAAATGTCCTGTGGTGAGTTTTTATAAGATATATTGAATTGAATATGAAATATTTTGTCAAATCAATGAATATTGCATGAAGTAGGAAACTAGAATTTAATTCTTTTCGTTTGGTTTGCAATGCAAGAATATCCCATTTGCCTTCTCTAGAATAGTCTGATGATTACCCCAGTATTTTCACTAACAGAAAATTCAGTCCGAAATAATATCGATAAAATTTTGCGCTTTCTGTTTTGCTAAGTACCTCTTTCTGATCGTGGAAAATATCTCTGGGCATGCTCATGATTAGTATTTAATTTTTTTCCATTTAACTCTTGACATATATTAATTTATCTTCTAATTTTGTTAATGTTTTTCCTATATCCTATGTCATTAAAAGAGTGTATCCTTTTTTTTCTTACACTAAAAAAGACCAGCATCTAACAGCAATATTTCGCTATTGTAACCGGAGTTCAATAAAACCCCCAGTTTTAGTGGAACATCTACTAAGTTGGTAACACTCCAATCACGGTCAGCAAACAGAAAGAATTTCTTACAATAATCACTAGCACTCCATATCTCTTTCAATCGTGCGCAAACATATTATTATTTAGAAAGAAAGAAAGAAACTTATTTATTCAGTGACCATACAAGAAAAAAACAAAGACAAAAAGGATATAATACTATGACACTGAAAAGGCAACCACTCAGCATGTGTCGGATGTCTTAGACAGTCCGACGCTGATCTTCCGTGGTTAATTTCGTAGTTGGTTAGTTAATTTAGACAGAGTAAAGTGAATCTAGAATGCTGACGATATCTATCAGTAGGTACAGAGGTCAACGTACGAAATTGTTTCTGTACGGCGACTGTGCTATATTGCAATAATTTATTTGTTTATTGTATGTTTTTAGCAACAACTGGCTAGCTTCAGTGACTACTTGCTGTTTGCTGTTGGTGCTTGTATGGTGAATGATTCCGCACCGGAGATTCGCGCGGCTGCCGCTGGTTGTATAGAAGCTATGCTTGTTAGATTGCCCATTGTGGGTAGAAATAAACTCTTCGACTTAGTACTTCTGTTCTTCCAAAAGACTCAGGTATCTTTACTAATATTATAAAGATATAAGATTTGGTTGTTTGTTTGTTTCTTAGTATCGAATACGCTCCGAAATTACTGGATCGATTTTAAAAAATATTTTACCTACGAGAAGCTACATTATATGCGGTGAACATAACCAAAATTTACCGCGAAAAACAGCAAATAAAGGTATGAAAATGAGAGTGAAAATTTCCATAGAGAATTAAAACGTTACCATAGCAACTATTGTTTACCACTCAATTTGTCATTGTAATTATATCCATGTCAGCGGCGTTGCGTGTCTCGGCGGGGCCCCGTATAAAATTTGTTAGGGGGCCCTCATGTACGGTAAAGATTTTGCACATATCGATATACAATACAACTAGACGAGGTCTTATTTTGTATAAGTGTGTTTGCGTTGTGCGTTTAATACGCACTATGCATAATACACTGCAAAAATAACTATCGGAATAAAAATGTATCTGTTGGAATATCATGGGTATGTTCCGATATACACTGCGACCACTGAACAGTATGACGTCAATTTAGTATACTGGAAGCCCGTTCCTTTATAGCTAGTTATACTGGTGACTTTTTAAAACGGAACGCAGTCCAGTATACTGTTAATCCTATTTTTTGGCGCCATTTTCAAATTTGTTAATGCAAGGTGAATATAAATATAAAGATTCCCTCTTTTCAAAAGAAAATTGGAAAATTGTATAAAAAATTATTTATCAATTAAATTCATCTTATAAATAGACGTAAGTATTTTTTTTTGTTTATTTATAAACTTATCATTTTCTGATTCCGTTTCGACTGATCACGTGATCAAAAGCACTGCGAGCACCTTACCTCGAAATCTCCAGTGCTCACAGTACAAATATGGCGGCAATTTATGACGTCATAAATTTCCCTAGGGTACTGTAGCAGTGTACTGGCAGTCCATAACGGAACGGATTTTTCAGCAGTAAGACCACTGCGCAGTGCTCGCAGTGTAAATCGGAACATACCCCATATTTTCGGGTTGTAAATGTCATTTTAAAATGTCTCTAAATAATAATCAAAGTATTTTCAATAGAATTACAGAGTTTTGTTTCCGAGCCAACCCACGTGGCAACATGGCTAATAGTAGTGTACTGTTATATTTTTTTTTACCATAAATTTGATCACTAATTTCAAACCATCTAAGTGAAGTGGTTCATATTTTCGAGTATAAAGCCGTGTGCATGAACATGTAGGTTAGTATCGGTCTGGGTGTTTTAGATGTATATCGAGAATCTATTTACAGCAAAACTAGTTAAAACAAAACATGCGTATAAATATAAATAGACGAATTAAACCATTAAATACTTACTCAATACTTACCCAGTTCCGGAGCTCAGTTGTCGCCTAAAGTATTATCACAGAATATACTCTGTGGTATTATGTTCCTTGTTTGTATAGTGCCGTATTTAAGTATTGTTTTAGTATGCAAGGCGTTATCTAGTTGTATTGTTGATCAAATATATCCAAATAAGCAGTTCCTTTGGAATCACGCGGGCGAAGCCGCTGGGGGAAAGCTAGTTTCTGATATTTTACTGTGCGGCTTGAATAGCTATCATATCGGAATGTAAATAAGATTTAAAAATATATTATATAATAAATATATATATATATATAATTATAGCGAAATATTTTGTGTAGTCGTAATACTATTCATAAATTTCTAAATAGGAAATAGAATTTGTCTAAACTAAAATGCTTCATATATAGTATTTACTATAATGTAATTGTTATTTTTCAGCCTTCAAATTTTGAACTAGCCGCTCAACTTTGTATTAGATTCGTAAACGTTGAAAAAGATGAATTTCAAAAGCGTATATCAAAAGTATTAAGTATCATTAGCACCAAAATACTTTTACTGAGCAACAACATAACTACGGGTCGATTCGTCAAGATTCAAATACAAAACGAGGACATGTCCAACGAAGAAAAACAACAGGAGAAGGACCACTGTTTGATACAATTACTAAACTTAATCGATAAGATCACTGTACATTGCGGTGCAAGTTTGAGAAACAAGACATATTTTGAGGATTACGACAGCATTGGGCAACAGTGTCAGGTGAGTTAACGGATTTACTGTTAAGTTTGTCTTAACTCCTTCTGTTTCCTCCGTATACTATTATCAAACACACGCACGCACACACCCACATGAACTTATTAAGATACAATTTAAAATATTTATGTAAATTAAATATTTTAACATTATCAGTTTACTTAAAACTCTTAGTCAGTATTTATTATTTTTGAAGAATATTGATGGATGTTTCAAACCGGAAGGTCTGTTTCCCTAAAATCACCCTTACACTATAGAATAAGGGACATAACATTATTTTCTGTATGGAGGTTGTTGGCGCTTCAGATTATTTTAAAGTTGCTTAATTTCCTATTTTAAAGTAGCTCATGTCTCACTAAAGTTTCATCGACCAAAACACCTTTATAACCTAAGTTCGCTATAAGTCAAGCTACGGATTTTCTTTTGTTCTCTAGGCATTATTGGCGTATCCCCACGCGTGGGTAAGACTGAGAGCGGCTAAAATATTGTCTGCTCTGTTATCTGCCGTGGATCCGGTGGAATTGGAAAAGGTTGTTAATAAAGATTTGGACACCGATAGGAGTTTCTTTTACTGTGACACGGAGATGACACTTAGAAGTCTAGTGTTGGATCTTTGTGCCCAATTCACGCCTTCAGTTACTAAGGAGATGGCTGATCAGGTATTTTTGATTTAATATTCGATTTAATTATGTAGTGTGTAGTGTAGATGGTACAGAAACACATAAAAATGTAAACCACAACAAGTTTCGACTTTAGTTCTAACTTATTAAAGTATACAATTATTGAATCAGTACTTGTTAGTTTTTATAACATCATTAGTGCCTTTGGGATATTTTTTTTATTAATTAAATAGAATTGTATTTTTTTAAATGATAATAATTAGTTTTTGTGTCTTTGTTAATCTTAACACATATGCTAATGTTTTTTCTTTTTTATTTTAATTACGTAATTAAAATTCTTCATAGGTGACAGAAGTGATTTTTCAAATTATGAAACTGGTACACTCTATATCATGCTTCAAAATTACATCTAAAATTGATAATAAACAAATGGACACCGAAGAGGTGGAAGGACGTGCTAAAGTCAATATTAGATGGATATTATTCAAGTTAAAAAAAGCCGTCAACGTGGAAGTCGCGAAAGTGCCCAATTCTATGACGATTGTGAGTATCTACAAGCTTTTATTTAATTTGCAATTTTCGGACGAATAATATCGACTACCATGAACATCACTATTTATCGATTGCATTATGGGAATCACTATTTGTTAGTGAGCTCTAACTATTGAAATCTGTACACTAAAACAATTGAAGAAGTAAAATTTTGTAATAACTGAATTTTAAAGAAATTTAAGTTGTTACATATAGGTTTAGTTTAAGTGAGAAGGATTAAATAAGTTGCTTCATTATAAATATGACAGGCATCATAAGATGGTGCCCTAGTTATTTTTTATGCACATCGGAATTACATTTACCGGGAAGGCGACTATGAAATAATGGTTTGTGTGTGTATTTTTAAGCAGAAGGTAGAAAAATTATATATCTCTTTCACTATTGATCTTTCCCTCAGAAGCTAAGAAAAGGGGGTAAATAGGTAAAATCGCAAATAATACATGTCTTACGTGATTGAAACTTTAATTAGAATTAATGTAATGTTGAAAATAAAAAATGTTACAGAGAACATCAATATTCACAGCGTGGATGCACGTGATCAGCTCGTTGGAACAAGAGGATCTTTATAAAGTGATCGATGTCATACTACCGCCAATAGTTCGCGAGTTGTCCGTCGGCGATGTGGGGGCGCCAGCGTCGCCTGTCAAACAACTAGCGGGCAGACTAGGAAAGAAATTGAGAAGGAAGATAGGTGATATAGAATACAGCAAATTAGTTGCGGAGGTGCAAACAAAATTGAATGTTAAAAGAGCTGAGAGAAAAAAGGTAAGTTTTAGTTAAGGGTATAGTATGTGATGGGGATGAGGGCTAAATAATGTTTGTTTGTCTATCAGGTAGATTCTTTAAATATATTAAACACGTATTTTTTTATTATTTTTTGCGTAATCAATAAATAACGGCAATACATTGGGTTAAAATGTCGCATGACGTCACGCTTTTGTAAATTTTCTACAAAATTGTGACGTAGCGAGCCCCCACTCCTCAACTTAATTATACCCATTACTTATTATATTGAAGTAAGAAAAATACGTATCTAATATTAAACTATTATCTGACTAACGGACTAAATAGAACTTCTTTTTTTTTACCCAGTCATCATTCCAATTGTCCATCAAATGCGTTAGCGATGCGCTCTAAAGTAATTTGTGTAACAGTCTTATATTTAAAAAAAATTGAGGTAGTTGAAATGTAATCGCGGCCAAAGTGAGAACTCGTATTAATTTAGTCTGCTACAGTACTACCATAAGAAAGAGACAATTTTTAACGTGATTTAAAATATCTAAACTATATTTGCAAAAGTGAATTAACTGCATATATGAATCATTATGTGGCGTATTTTTATCTTTGTCATCATCCAAAAAGTAATAATGACAAAGTACTTATAAAACTCCTATAACTGACCCTATTATCACGTGATAATTATAATGCTTATATTTCAATAATTTGGTTATGTGTACTACAACTTATGTACTATTAATTTTTCAGATATTACTTCAAGAAAAAGTTAACAATCCCGAGAAGGCAGCGAAACGCAAGCTTCTTTTGAAAGAAAAGAAAAGGCAAGCTAAGAAAATAAAACTAGAAATGATGCACGGCAAAAGGCCACGACCTAAGAAACGGAAAGCTGAAGATGTTGATATCGAAGATCAACTATTGAATGATAACGATGAATGAAATAGATAAGGACTGAAATTTGTGGCTGTGACTGAATGAAAACCGGCACTATAAAAAAAAGCTATTTTTGTATTAGTTATACAAAAAAAAAACTTATATAAGTCTATATTTCGAAAAATTCACACCCACAATAGCAAAATTAGGTAGAATCATGTATTACGTTAAAAATAAGCCCTGTAATAACCCTTTTATAAACCTTGTAGTGGGGACAACATCCGAGTATTAGTGAGTAAAAGCGAGTTTACATGGAGACCGACTAGCTGTAAGCTGAAAACTGTCCGTATTGTTTATACGATCAGTTATAAGTTAGTAGTTGTGTTAATTCAATTTGCAATATACTTTTAATTTTTAATTAGATGGACGGAAATGACTGCTCAATTCACATTTATTTTCTTTTAATGTTGCAAGTCTCAGTTTTAGTGTTGTAACCAGGGTTGTCACCTTTTGGAATACAAAATTTGGGATACTGTACGGTCGTCGGAAGTAATCGGATTCAGTACAGTTTTGATTCCTCTTATCATCAAAAGTTTGAGAAAATAAAAATAATACATTTTTTGTATTATTTCTTATTTTATTTGAGTCAGTTAACAAATAAATAAAAGACGTCACCTCATAAATCATAGCATGTGTACTTTTTTTAAATTTGAAAATAGTTTCAAGGAATATTTATAATTAATTTTGATATTATTATATTTGATCAAATTTGCATTCACAATGGTATATTGAAAATTATTCTTAATAAAAAATGCTTAAAAATCCACTTCGTACCTGGCAGTCTGAGACTGGACTCGAACCCATGACCTAATATTGATATCATTTGTAGAATTTTATCAAAAATCGGGACACAATGTATAAGACATCGGGCCGGGAACAACATCATTAAAATAGAAACTGTTCTAGAATATTAGGGACGAGTGGCAACCCTGGTTGTTGCAGCTGAGTTCTATGAAAGGATTCATTAATCTATTCTGTAATATGACACATTTAGGTTTTGATTCATCAGATGTCTGCATATGATTTTAATGTCTTCATGTTCCCCATAAGGTTGTTTTATTTATATTCTAATGAAAATACTTACAGTCCGACCGAAGTTTGTGTCTTATTTGAAGAAAATCCTTTAGGTGTTTAAAGCATTTTTCTAATCATTAAAGTTTCAATGTTTTATGTTATTGGCTATAATTTTCTGACTAAAGGGTAAACTAAAATTCATGTATGAAATGTGAACGAATCATAATTCATTGGATCCTATGAGTCAGAATACAACACGTTTTTTTTTATTTGCAATAAAGTGGCAAACCAACAGAATGTCAGTTTGGTTAATCTAATTAAAAATCAGACTATAAATCACCGCTGACTTGCCTCAAAGTCGGAGTGGGTTTTTGACGCTATGTAAACGCGGCTTAACATTAAAGTTACTTATTGAACTGTTATTGTTTAAGTGTGGTGCTTTTCTGTTGATACTATAATGTCTGTTATCTTCTTGGTTCATTCGATACATTTTATTGTACCTAAAGGTATTTAAGTATTATTATTATTTGGTTTCTATGTAGCTCTCACTCGGTTTCTTGCGCGTCTTTGTGTTACTTTATTTAAAGTTCATTTGTCATTAATTTTAATTAAAAATTGTAAATATAGACGTTTAAGAATTGTTAAATATATATATATATATTTAAAAAAAACTGTTATTTTTCCACCAGCGGCTTCGTCCGCGTGGTCCTGTATTATACCTACATATAAATATTTCTCTCGAATCACTATCATCATTTATTTCATAATCAGCCCTTGTACGTCTCCACTGCAGGGGCTCAGGCCTTCCTTATGGATGGTTAAGGAGGATGAGCCATGACCCTCCACGCTGGCCCAATGCGGATTGGAGGGTATTAACGACTGCAAATGCAGCCGGGACCAACGGCTTAATGTGCCTTCCGAAGCACGGATTAGCTCAAGATAATAATTTTTTTTGGTCACCCATCTTGTGACCGACCCTTGCGAAAGTTGTTTAACAACAACGATCGCGGGCCGCGGAGCTTATCCTCTACGTGATCGAGCTACTTGCCACGAATCACTATATATTGACGAAAACCGCATTAAAATCTGTTGGGTAGTGAAGCGTGGGGTTGTGAATGGGGGTGAGAAGCATCCCCTAGGCTTCAGGTAAAAAGAGCAAAAGAAACAAAATAATGTTTTAATAGACTTTATTTTATTCCTCAGGGGGTAGGTATAGATTCGCTCGCTAGGGTTCTTGTATCTTGAATTATGAGGGGAGGACTCGGCTTTATCGTTAAATTAGGGGATTAAGTGACGAGTTCGCGGGGTCAGCGCCGCGGGCCGGGCAGAGGCTGGCAAGGGTGTAGTCCCGTCGTCAGCTCCGGTCAGCAGCACTGAAGATCCACGAAGACTTCACCACAGGCACTACGCAGAGCAGCGTAGGTCAGGAGGACTCGGGTAGAAGAGCCCCGATTTCAGGGTTATTTAGCACAAACTTACAAATTTTCAAGATCACTTAAAAAATGAATGTATTATTGCGCGAGAAAAAATTTATATACTATTTCACCACTATGAGCCGCGCTGCGCTCCCATATCTGTCTACCTCCATAGTACAATTGTTAACAATGTACCTACAATAATCTTTAATGATGATTTTTATTTAAATAATTTGTATTAAAATGTAAAAAGGAATTAAGCACAACTGCTAAAGATTCATATGAGAGACAGTTTATTTAGTAAACAGTTACAGTAGCTTAAAAGATAATAAGTACAGACAGCGGGAAGAGACTTTTTTTATACTATGCATAGATACTAGATTGATTGGGAATATAATATGTGAAATGTACATAAACTGTAATTGGAAGTGAGGACTTAATGAAGCGCATACATAGTGACTATCGGTCAGTGGCATAAACGTCCATTTATGTTTAATGACGCCTTTAAGCTATAATGAATGTCAAATTTGTATTGGTAATGTTGCGTTAAACTAATGTCAATTTTAATGAAAGTTCTGCAACTGGCTGTATGATACATTAGGCCTACACTTAAAAATGCAATGCCCGTCTTAATAAATTGTCTCGAAGTATGGACGTTGTAGTACCTAAGAGGTGCCATTCTGATAATGACAGTGGTTTAGCTACTCAACCTTTATTTTTTTGTTATCTTGAGCTTATCAATGATGTCCCGAGACAAAAATCCGTCTTTATAGTCGGGAGTAATCTATAACCCATCACGTAGCCCAGTGTGGATTGAGGAATATTAACGACTGCAGATGTAGCCGGGAAAACGGCTTAACGTGTCTTCCAAAACACTAAGGAATTCGAGGTAATCCACAGAACACAGAAAGACCTCTCTTCTGTGTTCTTTGGAGGTAATCAATATACAAGTGTAGCACACACACACGCACGCGCACACACATGTCTCATAGATTCCGTTACTTAGGTAAGTATTACTGGAATTATATTCCTATTCTTAGATAAGTTTGTGAATACTGTTATAATCATATTAAATTTTTCTTAAGTATCTTTTAATAAGTTTTCTTCAAATGCTATGTAAAAGGAACCACCTATTCAATTCTTCTTGTGGTATCTGTAGGGGGCCTGTGATCTGTGTCTACAGGTTTCTTACGAAACCCACACCAGGCACTAGTCTCCTCATGATAGGACTATATATTATAGTTTTATTTCCCACTTTCTGTTTAAGGATCCTTTTTGTGGAGAGAAATAAATGTTTATTATTATTATTAATATTTCGTCACCCATCCGGCGACCGGCCATCTTGAAAGTTGCTCTCGGCAACCGCAGATCGAATCCTCTAACAACTGATGAATACGCCATCGCCTGTCTGTCGTTTGTTATCGTTGACAAAGTTTGTGATTTTAACTGGTCTTATTTCCAACGAATTTTATTAATTGGGATAATTAAATAATACAACAGATTTATAAACAATATAATATTGCTTTATGCATTCAAAGTACAAAAGAACATTAACAACAAATTAACGAACGTACAACATTCATCGAAATTAATCCACAACATCACAGTAGTAACGACTTTTTTCAAAAGTGCGTAAAGCGTAATATTACACAAATACATAATTTATTATTCCACTTCTTCGCTCCTTAAGCAAATTTGAACTCCGAGGCTGTTGGGTTAGCATTCATTGCTCTTAAAAACAATTATGAAAATGAGACATAGCTCGTTAGTTTTTATGACACGGATATTAATATTTAAAAGTATAAATCCAGAAATATTAAAAAACGAGTGTAGGATAAAACATCTTTGATTGGAAGTGATCATAATTTGACTTTCGAGTGAATATTACATTAGCTTTGAGAAAGCTAAAAAAATTTGGTAAATTGTTTTCAAATAAATGAAATAATAGTTCTAAAATGTGATTGAAGCTTTTCATTATCATCTCATTGATCAAATTCTTAAATTTGTAAATGGTTTTATTATTTTATTAATGTACATTTTCACTAAATTTCTAAATTAGTCGCCGAAATATTTTGGAATCGTCTAATGTGAAAATTCATTTCACCAATAACTACCCACACAACCACATATGTGTTAAAGATATTTGCGTAATATAAAAAATAGGTAGGGATGTATGTCAGGTCACAAATGTGTGAAGGGATAAAAGAAAAATCTAATTAGGCGATTCTTAAGATTAGCCGTGTCATAGTTAAACTATGCCTTGTACTAGGTAAGTGAAAACGGGTGATATTCGCGATGATAATTCACTAAATACACATTTGCATTTATTATCTACTTAAGTTAACATAGTGTGATAATTTTAAATGCGTAGTTGGTAGGACAGGTGAGTTTTGGCCACTTCGAGAGTTACGACGAAGTGAATTTTGATACATCATAGTTGTTAACGCAATTATATTTGCCATAATCAAACCTTTTTATAACCGTTCACGGTTAATTAACTGATTTGTCTATGCGTTAGTTAGAACGCTTTGAAGTTCCAAATAATCAAAAAGGGGGCAGTGGCCAAAACTGGGACTG